TCCCAACATCCTTCCCGGCCACCACAATACCTCCCCAGCAGCTTCCTTTGCTGTCGCCAGCCTTCACTGCCTCCCCCTTGTGACTGCCTTTCCCTAAACTAGTTACCTATCTGCTGTCCAACCGCCTCCCAACCTCTTCACCATCGCCCAGGGTGTCTTTTAGGTTTTTACTCGTTTATTTTCAAGTTGAACAGTCGTTATTGTAATCTGTTTGTATTTCAACGATAATATTTTCTTATTTTCTCATGTGGTTTTGGTTAACTCTGTTATTATTTGATATTAGAACTAACATAATGCTATTCCTATCCTCTGGTTTCCTAGCAACCGCCTTACCTTTCCACCCAAAATTTTCTCTCTTATTCCCAAATCATAGCCAAAACTTTGACTCAACCATAAATTCCTTTTGTTGATTTTCAAAATCAACAACACTAAATCATTTTTTGGCCCTCTTTCATCACCCTCACCCACTCAAAATCCTAGCAATGCCACCACGTAGATACATGTCGTACCCTACCCATAAGGAGAGAGTGAGAGATCCCTCATCTGCAACAGAGACTGGCAGAGCTGGATGTGGAACCAAGGAAGACGTTAACCTCGCTTGCGATCTAAAGAGTCGAAGGGAGATGGGGACGAGGATCTGCGTCCATTCAACAGGGAAAATAACAAGAAGGAATACCTGCCACGCCGCTTTGAAATTCAATATTAGAGTAGGCCTAGATAAAAGTCCACGGAGACTTTGATATCAAAATGGATTTACCAGAGTTTGAGGGAAATATGGATGTAGATAAATTTATTGATTGGCTACAATCTGCTGATAGAATTTTTAAATATAAAAATGTGTCAGAGGATAAGCTGGTCAAATGAACTTATATTAAGTTGAAAAAGAGTCTCTTTGTGATAGGAGAACTTACAACAACATATGTTGCGATAAGTTTCTCAAGTGGAATAAGATGAGAAAAGCAATGCAAAAGAAATATCTTACATTTTAATATCGCCAGAACATGTTTCTAACGGCGAGAACTTTCGATGGAGTTCACAACTCAGTTCAACCACTTGCAGATGTAATGCGAGCTGAACGAACTGGAAGAGCACATTGTATCCCGGTATCTTGGGGGCCTGAAGTCCACTTTTAGCAATGTGATACAACTGCAACCTTATTAGCCACTTGGGGTTGTCCAGACCTTAACACTGAAAGTAGAAAGGCAGCAGAGACAGAGCAGACAATCACCGCCAGTCAGACAACCCTCCACAGTTGGTGACACCTACAGAAGCACAACTCAGGGAGTTGAGAGAATTGGTTTAGATAAGGATAGAGCCACCTTCGTTGAGAATAAAGCCTGAGAAGAGTAGCACGCCTAATATAGTCCCCACTAGAGAATGCTTTAGATGTCATTGATTTGAGCACATCGCCTCTAGCTGCTTGATGAGCTGAGTTGTCTTTTATCGATCAGGGTATTGTGGAGGAGGTTAGTGATGGGAAGACCACTGAGAAGCAAGGCGAAGTGCATCTTCTTCCACTTGACGAGGGCGAGATGCTTGTAGCTCGACGGTTCCTATAGACCGAAGATATGATGGATTCATAGTGGCTTCGTCACAATATATTCTACATCTGTTGCACCGTGAATGGGAACGTATGCAGTCTCATCATAGTTGATGGGAGCAGTAAGAACATGATATCCACACAAATGGTAGAGAAATTGGGTCTCATGACTCGAGAGCCATTCTTAACCCTATTCTCTCACATGGCTGAAGAAGGAAACAGGGTCAACATTAATAGGAGGTGCCTCGTGCAATTTTAAGTTGGGAGCCAGTTGTAGGATCAAGTGTGGTGCGATGTGATCCCTATGGATGCTTGCCACCTTTTGCTGGAGAGACCATGGTAATTTGATCGTAGTACTCAGCACCCATGTTTTAAAAATCAGACCAAGCCGGTTCTTGTAAGGCTGAAACCCGCTCCGCATCGAACCAAAAAGAACCAGCAGTTGAATCGGTCAGTCGACTAGAACCAGCGGTCGAACCGGCCAACCAGTTAAGGGTAATTTTTTATCTTATGTCATCTTTTTATTGAAAATTATGAAAAATGTTTTGAATCTTTTCATATCATGAAGAATGTGTTTTGCTCTAATCATTCACAACTTTATTTTCTTCTTTAGCTTTTGTGAAATATGCATGAATATTAGTTTATTTCCTTTTCTTTTTTACACTTTTATATTTTCTTAGTTATATTTGTCATCTTTTTTACCTTCTATAGTGAATTTCATCTAATTTTTATGTCATTTAAGTTATGTTTAATATTTTTTGATATTTATGTCTTCACCCAGATTGAACCCCACTTCAGTTCAACTGTTGAATATTAAACCTTCTCCTCTACCGGTTCAATGTCCGGTCTGGTTTTCTGAACCTTGCTCAACACAACGAATTCAGGAAAATCTACTCCTCCATCCTACTTCCTTTAGCGGATCCCGAGATCACAGGAGCCCTTGCCAGCATAGTAGCATCAATGAGACCAATTTTGATGACGATAGGGGGTGATAGGATCGAGATACTAACTCTAGACATGAGATAGTGACAACAAAGAACATTTTAGGATATCACAATCTATACCTTACCACCATGACCGCCACTGCTCGAGGAGGTTCTAGTTATGTTCACTTCAGAGCAGGCTGAGTCGACCGTGGATTACTTTGAGAGGCTTTAGCGGTATATGTGAGGCATGCAGACTCAGGTCAGTGCAATAGTGGACCCTTAGAGGAGTGGATCGATATAGATGGATGCTCGCAAGTAGAGAAAGCTTCTTCGGTGCTTTTGGGATACAGTGCATTCGATAGTGGGATCTAGGTACTACCAGGATTGGAGACGAAGAACTAGAAACTTTGACGCATGAAGTTAAATCTCCACCAATTCAACGCATGAAGTTAAATCTAGGTACTGCCAGGATTGGAGACGAAGATTGGGATCTAGGTACTGCCAAGATTTAACTTCGACGCATAAAGTTAAATCTCGAGAGACTAACACAGTGCTTTTATGGGCTGGCTGAACCGGCCGGTTCAGCTAGGGAGAACAGGGCCAACCAACTAGCCGACCAGTCCAAGGCTACAACTGCACTTCCCCTTCCAATTTTATGTTCTAGCTATTTTATATTGGTTGTTTTGCTTTCTTAGGGTTAGCTTTTGATTAATTCTGATGTCAGATTACTGCCGCCGGGTGTTTTTCCCTAGCTAGGGTTGCATCCGACAACATGTGATGCTCCGGTTGTATTCTGCTCTGAAGTGGCGATTATCTACATATCCTCGTTCCCTTGCTGCTGCAATCCTACCTAGCCACCTTTCCTGCTGTTGTCTTCCTTCCAAGAGCCGTACCCTGTCACCGCCCTCCTACACAGCCTGTTTTTCTGCTGCTGTCTTCCTTCCAGCCGCCATCCCCTGCTTCCGAACTTCATCCCACAGCCTTCCCCCTGCTTCAGAGCCTCCTCCCAGCATCGTTCCGACCACCGCAATACCTCCCCAGCAGCTTCCCTTGCTGCCGCCAGCCTTTCCTGCCTCCCCCTTGTGACCGCTTTCCCCCTTGCCAGTCACCTGCCTGCTGTCCAGCCGCCTCCCACCGCCTTCACCATCACCCAAGGTGTCGTTATGCTTGTATTCATTTATTTTCAATTTGAAGAGTTGTTATTGTAACTTATTTGCATTTCAGCAATAATATTTTCTTGTTTTCTTTTTGTGAATTGGGCCAGTATCATGAGAATTGTGCGGTACGCATGTAAATTTCCCTTTCTTTTTTTTCTTCTTCCCCCCTTTTCTGAAATAGCTATTGCACCGAAAGTTGCCTGCCCCATTTCCTGCATTGTCAGCTGCCACCCCTTTCTCAGGACCAATAGGCGTTTTCCTTGAATAGAATATACGTATAATTCTTTTTTCCTCAAAAGCGATTGCCTGCATGCGCTATATATGAAGAATGGACATGAGGGTTTCGTGGTTAAAGGAATTGGAAGGTTTACGTACATACTGCTCAATTCTTATGTATTTACATATCCAACAGTAACACCTAAACTTCAATCTCTATATATATGCCCACCATATCTCTGCATAAAAAGTGGTACTCTTGATATGATATGGGATATTTGCATATTATAAACATAAATCATAAAGTTTAGGTGTTGGATGTGTAAATTTATAAGAATTGGGTGGTATGCATGTAAATGCCCCAAACTTGGAAGATTGGCATGCATAGCACTCAATTCTTGTGCATTTTCATATCTAACACCTAAGTTTCAATTTTTACATATCACCTCATCTATATGCATGAAAAAGTGCATTTCACTTTTTAAAAGTTAAAATGGTGGTATTTTTGTTCTGATTTGAAAGATTTGGGTGATATAAATGTAAAAAACAAAGTTTTGATGTTGGATTGGACATGTAAATACGTTGGAATTGGACAGTATGTATGTAAATGCCCATACTTAAGAAATGTGGCATTATTATTTTCTTTACACAGCTTAAGCTTCATGTAAAATTAGTGATTATTTGAGCAACTTTCAATAAATGGAAAATATACCATGTTCATTAACTTTCCATTACAACTAACACATTATTAATGTTTTTTCAGGTGCACAGTTATCAGGAGAAGGCATATTAGAAGGAAAAAGAAAGTATGAAGTGCAATCATGTGCAACTGCTTAGTTGTGGTTGAGAGCTAAGGTTTGTTTTGTAACAATAAAAAAAGATTTTATGTTTTATTTTATTTGTGCAAATTGTATGACAGTCATTGTTACTTTAAATGGTTGTTTTGTCATATTTTTCTTTGTATCATAAACACATTTCTAAAACGCAATTGCTAATAAATTTAGGAAGACTTGCATGCATGCCACTTAATTCCTGTTATTTACATATCGAACAGTTATACTTCAGTTTTTACATATACACCACCGAACATATGCATGAACGCTCATATTTTATCTTTTAAAAGTTAAACTTATGATATTTATTTACATATCTACCAGTTATACTTCAGTTTTTACATATGCACCACCGAACATATGCACTAACGCGCATATTTTATCTTTTAAAAGTTAAACTTATGATATTTTAGATGGGAACAAATGTAAAATGTTGTTTAGATGTTAGGTATGTAAACATGTAATGCTTGAGGGGGATGTTTTTGTATACCATAAAAAATATCAGCATGAATCTCGAAGCTATCGGGTGGCTGAAAGTAGAGACACACGGACAGTCCCGGACAGCAGAGCAGAAAACACAACAACAAACAGTCAACTGACTCTATATCTTAGTCGGCCGGCAAAACCAGCCAACTGATGGAATCTTTCGCCTGACAGAATGTTGACCGACGTGTCTACCAATCATGAGACTGCTAGCAAAGGCCCACGCATCCTGGTCAAACGACCAAATTGCTAAGAAGGAGATAAGATCGACCGATACCGACACACGGCGGACAATTGACATAGCCAGCTGACCTCAAGGCTTTGGGTGATTGATCATGCGCCGCCTTTATTTTCTTTATCATGTAATTTGAATTCCATCATTCAGATAATTTTGGAAACTGCTCTTTCCTTACATGTGCTTGTATTCTCAGACCCCTATTTATAGGAACTCATGACATTAATCACGAGACATTTTTTTGGGTTCTTCTTTGGGAGATTATGACATTTGAAGATTCTCTTACATTCATTCCGTTTCTCTCTCCCTTTCTCAAACTTTTCTTCTCTTGGCTCTAACTCTCCGGGCGTGTTTCACAAGAAGACAATTTAGGATTCAACATCCTAAAAAGTGGTGCGGTGAGCGTGGACATGTCACATATGAGAAGCGAAGCCAATTTTGAAGGAGAATCGCAGAAGAGAGATCCAGCGACGATGGAATTCAACAAAGAATCCATGAACCAAGAGATCCAACGATAGGTTTAAGAATTGCAGGATCATATAATGGGCCAGTTCAAGACCCTTTGACAGGCAATCTTGTAAAAGAATGATCAACTTGCACTACCAGGGGCCAAATCTCGGAGAACTTGGCCTCAAAGGGTTCTCCTGGAGCACCTGCTGGCACCGATCAGACGCATCGACAATCAAACAATCGAAGGGGAAAGGGAGTCCCCACAACTTGCCAATACCATATCTACATGGATGGTTGGATCTCGTGTAAATCATATTGATGTACCAGTCCAATCTTCCTTTGATAGTGCTTTCACTCGACGGATGTTGGAGGCCATCCCATCAGCAAAGTTGAGAATCCCCCATTTGGATTCTTATAAGGGAAAAGTGATCTAATTGACCACCTAGCGCCCTTTGAATTGTTGGTCAACTTCCTATAGATCGACGATGCCATGAAGTGTCGCGTCTTCTTGATGACACTCGAGGAATCAACTCTTTGCTGGCTCCAAGCTTTACCGATTTGGATTATTCCGACCATTGCCGAATTCAAAAAGCCTTTTTTGTCACATTTCACTAACATGCAGAAGTTGAGGAAGAAAGCACAGGCTCTGCTACTGATCAAGCAAGGGGAGAACGAGACTTGCAATCATATATCTCTCATTTTCAGAAGGAGATGCTGAAAGTACAAAATTTTCAGCTGTTGATGCCCAAACCGCTCTAGCACATGGCGTTAGAGACAGGCGTTTCAAGTATGATTTGAATATGCTTGAACCAAAGTCTCTTTTTGAGATGCTAGAAATGGCCAACAGTCATATTGCCGGCAAGGAATCCTTCACAGATTCCTCCCTGGCTAAGACGACATCGACTGACCCGCGGTTGAAGAAGAGGAAGGCTGGAAACGAAGGGCAGAGGTCGAAGGACACAGTCAAAACCCCCTCCGCTTGTCAACATCGCAGCATCGCCCAACAACCTCGAGGGAACCTAAGCCATCAGGGTTAGAATCAAAATTTTGATCAACCGTCTCCTTGATATTTTTGGAAACCTCGAGGGAACCTAAGCCAACAACCTCGACGTCACGTGCATCGAGAGATGCATGGTTTAACCCCGCTAAATGTCTGAATGACTGAATTAGTAGCAGCCATTCAAAATAAAAAGTATTTTTGGAAAGCCCTGTTGATAAAGGTCGAACCTTTGCTCCAGAATTTAAACAAGTACTGCGACTACTACCGAGACCCTGGGCACGATTTGGAGGAGTGACGCCATCTTCAGAGCTTGGTGGGAGAATTGATCAAGGCAAGCCGGGAAACTGAAGGAGTTCGTTACTGTCGGCAGACATACACGACGACAGGGAAAGGCCCCTGCTGAGAAACCGTCCGACGGACCAGTCAGGGCTAGCGACGTTCATGTCACTGGAATCATTCTGGCTATATTCGGGCGAGGCTGAGAAATGTTTCGTCGATCCAACCAGAAGAGGCATCAGTCCGGTGAGGCATTTTCTGTTGCTTCTTACAATCATAATCATGTGCCTATTGTTTTTACAGATGCAGATCTCCCGTCGAAGGGAAATTTCTAGAACGACACCATTATCGTTGTTGTCTTAATCAACAACTTAAGTGTGGTGTATCCTGGTAGACACCGGGAGTTCAGTGAACATTCTTTTCAAGATGATGTTTGATAAAAGTAACCTCAAGATCGATCAAATGACAACCCCGATTGATTCATTATTTGGCTTCTCTAGCAAAAGAAAAGAAGCTTTTAGTGTCATCGTGCTAGCCATCTCATGTGGAGAGCGCGAAAAGCAATACACCAGTACAGAGAACTTTCTGGTAGTTGAACCTCTCCAATCTGCTACGCCATATTCAGACAACCACTGCTGAAAAACTATTAGGAGGTGGTTTCGACTTACCATATGACTGTAAGGTTTCCTGACAACGGAGAAATTATAATCGTTCGGTGAAACCTGAAATAATCAAGGAGTTGCTATCTTTGAGCGGTCACCTCACTAACAATGGAACACAGCTCTCAAACCGGTGGGTGAGATTTTTGTGCGAGTCAAGGGATCAATCTGAAGTTCTCTTCAGTCTATCTTCCCTGACGAACGAGCAAGCTAAAGCAGTCAACAAAATCATTCTGAATTTGCTATGGAAAAAGGTAAAGGGAGTTAAAGGAATTGGGTAGAGTTGCTATCGTCAGTATTATGGGAGATTCAAATGATACCCTCTTTGGCGACAGTCAAACCCCATTCATGCTGACCCACGAAATGGATGCAATGTTACCGGTCGAGTACAACCATTACAACCAAAGGGTTGTCACAACGTCGTCCTTTATAGAAAAAAATTTTGTCGAATGGCAGGAAGCGAACATCGATGGTGCTATGTTAACCCTCGATCTAGCATAAGAAAGGTTGTGTTGACTCAGCTCTCCAGTAGGAGGAGATGAAAAAACGGACGACATGTTATTTCAATAGACATGTTTGCGAAAAGAATTTCGCCTTAGGAGACTTGGTTTTGAAGATGGTTAACCTGACCGCTCGTGGTCTGGCGGTTGGCAAACCGGATCAGGAAAGTGAAGCTTTGTGTTGAAGCTAAGCTGTGATCACCCATTCTCCTTGTTCATCATAATTCTCATACTTTTCTCTCAAACATATGAAAATTTGTATGCGAGGGAGAGCGTGAGAAAGGGGGTACCGGGACCAGAAGGCCTCATCTCATAATGCTGCATTCTCTCTCTTCACATGGTCTCCTCAATACAAGTAGACGATGGAGAGAGGGAGGAGGCTTCCTAGTTCAACTCCACGACCTCTAGCTCTTCGGAGTGAACTCAGCTTCTGGCGGCAACTGCAAATGGACGTATTGTACTCCCTTGGAACGTGTTGTCAGCACAACCTTTCCCCATGGGACACTACGCTCGTTTGCGGAGGGTGATGACCTTGGTAGGTCATCTTGTTTGGTGTCTCGCTCGACACCCGACTCAGGGAAAATCCCCTCCTTCGACACTCACTCGAAGGGAAAATTAGCCAATGCATGACCCTCCCCTAGCCCATCACTTTAGACTCCACACAGTCGACAGAACTCTCACGTTCTATATGAACCCACTGACAATTTCAATTGAATACGACCACAATTGTTAGAAGCCCCCTTCTGTTTTTATAGGAGGGCGGTCAACAATTCAAACAGGGCTCTCCGGATAAAAAATTGCAAAAGGGCCCACCACAACAAGACATATCAATGCTATGACAAGACAACTCGAGGATCAATGCTATGACAAGACAACTCGAGGTTGTAGCAGGACCCATAAGGGGAAAAAAAGAATCAAGTCACACTCAAAGAAAATCTTTAAAGATGGCCCACCAAAAGTCATAGAAAATAAAATTGTGTCTCGATCTCCCAGCGATGGTCGGCGACCATCTGCTTAAACACTTAGGGAACTCAAATGGATCGAGTGCCCATGTATGAATCTCAGAATGGCCGACCATGATCCGTCGGTTGGTTTCCTTTGCACCCTCTTTTTAATCGCAAAGCCCAAACCTCTAAGATTGAGACTCTGGAGATGGTTTTCTGCTCACCGACGATAAGATCCGCGAAAGAGTATAACCCGGAAGCAAGTCTTAGAGGTTGCCCGCACAAGTAACGACAAGATTCGTGCTTAGTGAAAGGAGTAAACCTAGCTGTGGTGAATATCCGATCGGTCGAACGTGTTGAGATTCTAACGATAACTCAAGCTCGTGTATGGCAACCAATCGAT